TTTTCAGAAGTATATAATATATAAAGGAACTAAAAAAACAAATGAATATGAGTAGCATCTAAGAGCCTATTGGGAAAAGGGCTGTATTGAATAATTCAGTAGATTATTAACAACAGAGTACTGGCCAGGGGAAGAGTAAATGGCCAGCATCATTTAGCTGTGTTAGGGATAGGACCTTACTTGGCCACTAGTTAGGGTCTCAGCAGTTCACCAGGGGGTGTCATTTATCCTTTATGGGTTGAAAAACAGGCTAAATTGGGCTGTTAAATGGGGAAAGAGTGGGTATAATCACCTCTTCTCTTAATACACCTTGTAGAGTGGGTCTCATCCTTGAAGTTTCTGTTTTGATAAATATTGGACCATATTAACAATTGTAATGACCCAGGCAAGTCCTCAGGGTCCAATCTGGCAAGGCCAACAGTAAGGGGCAATTTTTCAATTTTATTATAATTAGACCATCCATCCCATAATGTGAAATCCTGAAGGAAAGGAAGCAGAACCACTGGAATAATAAGGTAGCTTGCTTGCCTTCTATTTTATGTGCAACCATGCCCAAGAAAACATACGGAGTTCTGCCTTAGCCATGTCTTTTTGTCACTGAATAATGTTCCACTTCATGGAGGTACCGTGGTTTATCCATTTATGTATTTTTAAAGATATTTTTAAATGTGTTTCATTTATTTTGAGAGAGAGAGAGAGTGTGTGGGAGAGAGTGAGAGAAAGAGCATGAGTAGGGGAGGGGCAGAGTGAGAGAGGGAATCCCAAACAGGCTCTGCACCATCAGTGCAGAGCCCGATGTGGGGCTCGATCTCACAAACCATGAGATCATGACCTGAGCCAAAATCAAGAGTAGAATGCTTAACTCACTGAAACCAAGGAGCCCCTCCCCAAATGTTTATTTATTATTTTTTTGGAGGGGAGGGGCAGAGAGAGGGAGAAAGAGGATCCCATGCAGGCTCCACACTGTCAGCACAGAGCCCAATGAGGGGCTCCATCTCATGACTAGGAGCTCACGATCTGAGCAAAATCAAGGGTCAGACACTTAACTGACTCAGCCATTCAGGTGCCCCAATCAATTTTGCAGTTTGCTTGTTAGTTTATTTATTTTGAGAGAGAAAGAGGGGGGAGGGGGGAGGGGGAGAGAGAGAGAATCCCAACCAGAGAGCTTAATAAGGGGCTCAATCTCAAATCGTGAGATCATGACCTGAGCTGAAACCAGGAGTTGGACACTTAACTGAGTGACTAGGCACCAAGAGTTCCACCTTCCAGTTTCTGTTTGAGCCTCGTTGTTCAGAATTGGGCCATGTGGTCACCCCAGCTATAACAGAGAAGCTGTAACAGAGCCTTTAAAGGCCGAAGTGTTTTGAGGTGAGACACCTTGGTTCCCCACCCCAAATAGAGTCTGTCACAGGTGACCACTGCCACCAACATTGAGTGCTCTTCTGGAAGTGCTAGCCAACATGGGTTTTAAAAAGAAATGAAATAAAGGTATCCATACGAAAAGGAGAGGCAAGCTTTTTATTTCCAAGTTAAATGGCAATTGACCTAGAAAGCCCAATAAAATGATACATTGTTAGAGAACTAGAATAATTTGGTAAAGTTGCTAGATATAAAACAAATATACAAAAAGATATATATACAATCAATAGTCATCTTATATATAACAGAAAGACTCGATTTTTTAAAAAATTCTTTTAATGTTTTATTTCTTTCTGAGACAGAGAGACAGCGTGAGCAGAGGAGGGTCAGAGAGAGAGGGAGATACAGAATCTGAAGCAGGTTCCAGGCTCTGAGCTGTCAGCACAGAGCCTGATGTGGGGCTCGAACCCACGAACCATAAGATCATGACCTGAGCCAAAGTCAGACGCTTAACCGACTGAGCCACTGAAGCACACCTGGAAAGACTTGATTTTGAAACCACACAAAATTGGAATGAATTTAAGAATAAACATATACATTGAACATACATATAAGAACACCTGTTAAGAAAACTATACAACTTATCTGATGCTTAGAGGCAGATTTGAATGACTGGTGCTTTGATGTGAAGGTTATGTATATAAATCTATAGTAATTCTTCACAAACTAGCCAATGATAACAAAATCCCAATGAGATGTGCAGGGGCAAGGAGAGATTGAGCTCTGAGAAAAAGAAGCCTGGGTTGTCTCAAAGAATATATTAAAAAAAAAAAAAAACTTTTAAAAAACATACCGAAAATACTGTCCTGGTCCTACTACATATTAAAGTGAATTATGAAGCTAGAAATAGAAAAGTGAAGAATGCCATTCTGGAATGATGCAGGGACCTTGGAATTTACATCCCAAATAGATGGATTTAAGAGGCTTTTTGTTTGTTTGTTTTGGACTTAAGAGTTTAATGCAAAATAAGGAACCAAAAAAGGATTTAAAGGAGGAGCTTCCTAAGGACCAAGGAAAATTTTAAAGCACAAAAACCAAAAAGGTCCAGTTACACAGAATTTGATCTCTGTACATTAAAAATGCTGTAACAAAGATAAAAACGTTATATGCCAAGGTGCTTTATGCATGTGTGTCTGTGTGTATTAAAAACAAAGAATGGAATAGACAATATGGAAAAAAGGTAAAAAACACATGAGCCAATAACATTTGTGATGTATCAAAATGGCAAATATAAAACGTGAAGCTGATGCCAAGTGTGTGCAAGGAAGAGTGCACACAGGGAAAGGGATGCTCTTGGCGCCCACGTGGGAGAATTAAGAATGTTGTGCTGGGTTTGACCTAAAAACAGTTGTGTAATGTTTGTGACCTCTGCCTGTGAGCTCCACTTCTCACAATTTATTCTGGGGAACTAACCAAAGGGCAAAACCGGTTTACGTTCCAGAATTATTTACAGGTACAGGTGATGTTGATGCTCAACAATAAAGGAACAGATCGACCATGACACGATGATAAGACAAAGACTCAGCCATCAATAATGTTTCTGAAAAATTATTTTGTAATGTGGAAAATGTTCATCATCAAACATTAAACGGAAAAGGACAGAAATAATATGCGAAATATGAATCCAGTTTTGTTTTAAAAGAAAAGGCATGTTATATGTGCAGGAAAAAAAAAAAGAAGTAAATACCAGCAATGGCTGATGAACTGAGTGTATTTTTATTCTTAAAATTTTCTGACTCCCCCCCCACAATGTCTTCAGTGTATATGTATTGCTCATATAATCAGAAAAAAAGTTTATATGCAAATAAAAGAAAAACATCAAGTCTCCAATGAAAAGAGGTAGAAAGGGCATATTCAAATCATTTGCAAGACAAAAGACCAGGGATCAAAATGTGTTCAATATTCAGCCTCTTTAGTTATGGAAGGCGCAAAATAAAGGGCTAACAATGTACCACTCGGCTGAGGGCATAGATCACCACCAGGCACGGTGTCCGGGGCCCCAAAGAGATTTTTTTCATTTGAAGTTCTTTTGACATAAAGAGGAAAAATGAGTATGATAATGATGAATCAAGCCCAGGTTGTATTTGTCTTCTACAAATGCAGCTGTAAAATAGAACCTTTTCCTATTTGTCACAGAAGGGCCCATGATTGCCACGATGTGGCCCTGGGGACTGCGTGTAATGGGCTTGACCACACTCTGGAGGGATGCGGTGGGGCAGCAGGTGCCCAAGAGCATTGCTGTGTTGTCACTGGGACCTGAACAAAGACCATGTGGACACCCAGCTTTGAAAAGGGAGTCCTGTCCCTGGAGACGGCTGTGCAGGGACATTCCTAGCTGACCGCTACTGCTGATGTATTCTTCATACTGAAATGGTCTCAGTTTACACACCACTAACAACACACAAAAAGGATTTTTCCCAAAGCTGTTCATTTCCTTTACCTCAAAATGTTCACTTTTAGAAATCTAAGAAAATGATAAAAGAACTATCATGCAAACAAATGCTCTAAGGGGCACCTGCCTGGCTCAGTCAGTGGAGCATGTGACTCTTGATCTCGGGGTTGTGAGTTCAAGCCCCATACTGGGTGCAGAGATTACTTAAAAACAAAATATTTTTACTTATTTATTCATTCATTTATTTATAAATGCCTATTCATTAAAATTTTTTTTGATGTTTATTTATTATCATCAAGAGAGAGGGAGACACAGAATCTGAAACAGACTCCAGGCTCTGAGCTGTCAGCACAGAGCTCAACGTGGGGCTCGAACCCACAAACTGTGAGATCATGACCTGAGCTCAAGTCGGATGCTTAACCGACTGAGCCACCCAGGCGCTCCAATGCCTATTCATTTTTAAGAGAGAGAGAGAGGCAGAGCATGAGTGGGGAAGGGGCAGAGAGAAAGGGAGACACAGAATCTGAAATAGGCTCCAGGCTCTGAGCTGTCAGCTAAGAATCCGATGCAGGGCTTGAACCCACAAACTGTGTGATCATGACCTTAGCCAAAGTCAGACACTTAACTGACCGAGTCACCCAGGTGCCCCTTAAGTTTATTTGAGAGAGGGAGGGGGAGGGGCAGAGAGAGAAAGAAAGAGAGAATCCCAAGCAGGCTCTGTGCTGTCAGTGCAGAGCCTGATGTGGGGTTCAGTCCCACGACTGTGAGGTCATGATCTGAGCCAAAATCAGGAGTCAGACCCTTAAATGAGCCACCCAGGTGCCCCCAAAATTAAATCTTAAAACAAAATAAAACCAAAGCCAAAAAGTTGTTCTATGAAGAATAGTTTATCATGGAAATAACTTCAACACCCAACAAAAGAATATTTAACATCTTGGGGCGCCTGGGTGGCTTAGTCAGTTAAGCGTCCGACTTTCGCTTAGGTCATGATCTCGCGGTTTGTGGGTTCGAGCCCCGCGTCGGGCTCTGTGCTGACTGCCAGCTCAGAGCCTGGAGCCTGTTTCAGTCTGTGACTCCCTCTCTCTCTGACCCTCCCCTGCTCACGCTGTCTCTCTCTCTCTCTCTCCTAGAAATAAATAAAACATTTAAAAAAAAAAAAAGAATATTTAACAGAATGCTATGCCTCCATTTAAAACTGTAACTCTAAGGACAGTGCAGTTACTTGGGAAAAAATTCTGCTATGCAGTAGGTGGGGAAAAAAGATGAAAGTGATATATATACTATGTTTGTGGGGATGTAAAAAAAATCCACTTTGAAACAAGCAGAAGGTAATGTATCAAAGTGCGAAATGCAGTTTTATTAGCAATTATGGGAGTCTTTTCCTTAATTCCACACTTCCCAAAATGTAGTTATTTTGCTACCATAAGTTAAAAAGTGTACTAAAAAGCATTTCATAAACTATAGCTCTCCATATAAATGTAAAGTATTATCATTGAGAAAGCAGCTTGGGTGTGCTTCCAACTGCGCAGAACAAGCATTAATTCCAGAGGAACGCGGTCCACCTCTGCAAAGAGCACAGGGACGGGTCTCCTTGGAGGGGCTCCTCCTGCGGGGCTGAGCCGGTGAGCAGAGGGAGGCCCCGGGGCAGACTCACTGGCCTAGGTGATGGCGCGCTTCTAGACACATCTATGCCAACACCGCACCCTGGATGAATGCCCGGCACTCGCCTGCGCGCTCACTGCTTCTCACCAGGACGAAGCGGGTGTGTCAGGACCCGGCCACGCTGACGCCAGGCCGTGCTTCTCAGACAGAGGTGCTGTCACTAACAACAGAGCCACTTTGATGAAGCGAGTCCAGGAAATCCGCCTTTTCCCAAACCCCTGCCACTGAAGATCATTCTCCTCTCCTGAAACAATGCTCCCCTAGAAGGAAGGCTGTTCACACTTCTTCTGTTTCTATTCTTACCATTATTATTACTCTAAACATACCAGCGTACAAAGGAAATTCCTAATGGATATCATGCCAGGAGCCGGTCCCGAGGACACAATGATCGATATACCTTCTTTTGGTCTTCAGGTAAGACCTACTCCTCAGGTCGGTGACCTGCATGCCCGTTAAGGAAAACAGGATGACGGGACATCCTCAAATGGCCCTCATGTCTTCTCTCCTACAGTGTGGCCCTTCTCAGGGTGATGCCGACTGCTCAAAGGGGTGTCCCAGTGTGTGGGGAGATGGGCACAGGCGGCAGGGCCAGTCTTGAACCTGAGGCACGTGCATCTGAGCCGCAGAGCTTTCTGGGGAAGCAGCGAGGTGGTCGACGACCAGCACACTGTGCTAATTTCCGGGTTTGCTGCCCAGCGGGAAAGTCCGGCTGGCTGAGGGCTGTACCACGCACAGGAGCTCTGCCACGTCCAGGGCATTGAGTGGGTCCATGCCACTCACCCCCGCGCCCCCCGCGCCCAGCAGGCTGCCCGGCATGTAGTAGGTGCTCAGTAAGTGCTTGTTGAACTGGAGGGCGAAGGGCTTCTCCTCGCTGTGTTTCCTCTGGTGCTCGGCGAGGTGGGTGCTCCAGCCGAACATTTCCCCACACTCGTCGCATCTGAACGACTTCTCCCCGGCGTGGACTTTCTGATGCTTGATGAGACAGTGGTTCTGGCTGAAGGCCTTGCCGCACTCGCCGCACTTGTAGGGCTTCTCGCCGGTGTGGATGCGCTGGTGCACAATGAGGGATGAGTGGCAGCTGAAGGCCTTCCAGCAGCGGCTGCAGTCGAAGGGCTTCTCCCCCGTGTGGATGCGCTGGTGCACGATGAGGTAGGAGTGGGAGCTGAAGGCCTTGCCGCACTCGTTGCACTTGAAGGGCTTCTCCCCGCTGTGGATGCGCTGGTGCACCACCAGGTACGAGTGGCAGCTGAACGCCTTGCCGCATGCGCCGCACTTGAAGGGCTTCTCGCCCGTGTGGATGCGCTGGTGCAGCGTGAGGCGCGAGCGGCTGTTGAAGGCCTTGTCGCAGTCGCCACATTTGAACGGCTTGTCCCCGTTGTGGATCTTCTCGTGCACGGTCAGGGAGGAGTGGCAGGTGAAGGCCTTGCCGCACGCGCCGCACTTGTAGGGCTTCTCGCCCGTGTGGATGCGCTGGTGGCGCGTCAGGTGCGTCCTCTGGTTGAAGGCCTTGCCGCACGCGCCGCACTCGTAGGGCTTCTCGCCTGTGTGCACGCGCAGGTGCATGTTGAGCAGCGAGCTGCAGCTGAAGGCCTTCTCGCAAGCACTGCACTTGTAGGGCCGCTCGCCCGTGTGGATCCTGTGGTGCACGTTCAGCGACGAGTGGCAGCTGAAGGCCTTGCCGCACTCGCCGCAGAAGAAGGGCTTCTCGCCGGTGTGGATGCGCTGGTGCTCAATGAGGTTGGTGCTCCAGGTGAAGGCTTTGCCGCACTCGTGGCACTTGTAGGCTTTCTCCCGCGCGTGCCACCGCCGGTGCAGGGTCAAGGACGAGCTCTGGCGGAAGGCTTTCCCGCACTCGCCACACGCGAAGAGGCCATCCCCAGAGGCCGCCGCCAGCCTCCTGCTCGGGGCCGCGTGCTCCCCGCCGCCACCGGACTTGCACGGGCCTCTCCGGGCGCCTGCTCTCTGGTGCTTGGTGGCCTCCTCACCAGACCGGAAGCCCTCGGTGGGCCCATCAAGAGGGTGTGCTTCTTCAGGAATGTTCTGGGGGGTGAAATCCTTCTCAGGGGCCTCATGGCCCTGCCGGTGCCCCTCCAGGGAAATGTCCCGGCAGGCCGGCGCTGGCCTCTGCGGAGCGGCCTCACCCCTCACCAGAGCAGCTGCCGGACCCTTTCGAGCCCACCCATTGCCCAGACTGGGGCTATGGACCCTGGACCTCGCCAGGGGCTCGGTGATGGGCTCCTGGGAAGGCTCTTCCTTGTAAAGGCCCTGTTGTTGACAAGACTCATCCTCCACCTCAGGCCCAGGCTCCCCGTCTGCAAGAAATAGGAAATGCAATCTTCCATAAGCAGGTGGAGACCTGGCACTAGAACTCAGGCTGTGGTGGGGCGCCTGGGTGGCTCAGTCGGTTAAGCTTGTCCGACTTTCGCTTAGGTCATGATCTCGCGGTTCGTGGGTTCGAGCCGCGCATCCGGCTCTGTGCTGACTGCCAGCTCAGAGCCTGGAGCCTATTTCAGAGTCTGTCACTCCCTCTCTCTCTGACCCTCCCCTGCTCACGCTGTCTCTCTCTCTCTCTCCTAGAAATAAATAAAAATATAAAAAAAAAAAAAAAAAAGAACTGAGGCTGTGGTCTGCCTGGGGTCCCCACCAGCACAGAGAAGAGACGGGAGGCCTACAGCCAAAGCATGCCAAGGCTTGAGGAGCAGAGCCACAGGGCACGCATCTCGGGTGAGAGGGGTGCAAGCCCACAAGAGGGGAGATGGAGGAAGATGGAGATTGGAAATTCCAAATAGAGCCAGGGACCCAGGAAAGGGGCAGGGCTCACGGGGTCTGGCAGCTGCGCATGATTCACTTACAGAAACATCGAATGAGACTTCTATGTGTCGGGACTGGGTTGGAGCTAGGCATGCACACTGAGTAAACACAAGTCCGGAAATGATAATTCCGTTTAAATTCTCCCCAGTGCCAGAAGGGAAAGGAATGCCCCCGCACCACCTCTCCTGGCCTTTCCTGTAGAATACCTGCAACTGTAAATGTGTTCTCAGTCCCCGAGGTGTATGTATGTCTCTTTACAAGGTACGTCTCTTTAAAAGCCTCACACGCCAGGGGGATGATCTCCCTTGGAGCCACCTCTGCGACCCGTGATCCCCCTCCCTCCCCAAGCCCAGGCTGACTCTGCCTTTTTCTCTGTGAGTGAAGGAAACCCCGGTTCCATACACATTCCCTGCCCCCTGTCCAACGACCGCTTGTTAAATGTTTCCAGGGATGCTGACATCATTTCTGTCTCCCACCAGTAGAAGGCAGCGGTCTTTGCCTGTTTTGCTCATCACTACATTCCCAGCACAGTTCCCCCCACCCACAGTTGGTGCTCAACGTGTGTGCTGAAGGAAAGAAGCAGGACCACACGGGGGTGGGGCTGTGAGCACCGGGGCAAGGGTGTGCACATCCTTCCACTGCATCCCCCGCTCACCTGGACAAGCCCCTCCAGGGGCTTCTCTGGGCATCCACCATGGCTCCTCGCCCCGTTCCAGGTGGGAGATCACATCTGGCTTGCAGACGGGGGGCCCTGCTTGCAGGGAAGAAGTGGTGTGTGTGGTTCTAAGTGCTGTGGCTCCCCATGGCAGAACAGCCCCAGGAAACGGCCCAGCCCAGCTTGGAGAGGTGTGTGCCTCCCCCGGGGACGGGGGTCTCACATACAGAACCCCAAATGAAGTGTGTACTCTGAGGACCCTGTGGGTATTGATGCTCCCCTCTCTGCCCCCCTTGGAAAGCTCCAGGTCAGACTGGGCTCCCAGGCCCCTGTCCACCTCCTCCCTCTCTTTCGGCCCCCATCCTGGGACCAGCCCCACCTCCAGGCAAGGATGCTGACAGTTACCATGCACTGCCCAGGCCCAGCATGAGTGCAGGGACCACATCTCCTGCATCTGGGCCTGGCAACACAGCTGGCACTGAAGGGAGGCTTGGGAATACCTATGGCATGGCAGAATGCCCAGATTGCAGGGTGAGCTTCAAGGAGCTGTCTTACCCAGGGCAAGAAGGTTCTGGTAGTTCTCCAGCATCACGTCACGGTACAAAGCCCTTTGAGGGGAGTCTAGCTGGCCCCACTCCTCCTGTGTGAAGTCCACAGCCACATCCTTGAAAGTCACTGATTCCTGGAATGACACACACATTCTCATTCACTCATGGTGGGAGTGATTCAGACTGTGTTCGTGGTTCCAAGGGAGCCACGTGTCAACTAAGGACCTTAGGAATAAAGGGTTAACCTTGGGTGACCTTCTCCTGAGTATGGAAGGTTGTGCTGTAGGTGCCATCGGTCTACAGCCCCAAAGTGCATACCACACCCGAGTCAGGAATCGCTGTGCAGACCCTGCCTTCAGGACTAGGAGGGCTAAGCTAACTGGCCAGCCCCCTGCAGGTGCCTCAGTGGGTGGGAGGCTGCTTTAAGTTCTGGCTAAGATGCTATGCTTCCCAGGATTAAGACTGTCAAACTTAAGAACCTAAAAGACTAGTACAAAGAATCTAGAAGCCCTATTCAAATCTCACCATTGCAAAAGGACCCTACTTTGGACAGGAAGCCATTATTATACCGTAAGGAAGTAAACTCTACTTGTCTGAAAGTTCTGTGCCCAAAGGACCAAGGGGGCCACTCTGTGTTCTTCCTGCCTGCCTCCCACACCTTCCCACCAGACTCCTGTTCCCCTGCCCCTGCCCAGATCCTGACTTGCTCCCACCCTCCCCAACACCCGGACACCTGCAGGCTGCTCCGCTGACCGGGGCCCTTCACCTGCTCTGGAGGCTCCAGGCTGCCACCCCCCACGTTCCTGTAGCTCTTCACGCTCCAACCCCACTCTGGGTCCCCCTTGCCAACGGCATATAAGCTCTCGAGGCCCATCAGGGTGTTGACCTAAAGTGGCAAGCATGCGTCTCCCTTCAAAGACACGGGTACCATGGGAGCTTAGCTTAAATCATAGGGCATTACGTTAGACAGAACAGCAAAGAACAAACCAAGAGAGGGAGGCCTAGCTCCCATCTCTTAAGTGTTTGCTGGGAGTGGCTGGCATGCAACCAAGCTCCCAGGGTCACTGTATCAGCATGGTACCGGTATCATTCAGGCACCGGGGTGCAGAATGTCAAGTCCTGAGATGAGGCCTTGTGCCTACCAGCGGCCCACCACGAGGTCAGGAAGAGAGGGGGCATCCTTAGGGATCACCAGAGCTTTGACCTACACCTCTAAAAGTGGCTTATGCTTTTAGACAGTTATCATTGTTGCTATGGACAGAACTGTGTCCACCTGAAATCATATGTGGACACCCTCACTTCCAACATGACTGTATCTGGACAGGGTCTCTTTAGTAGGTGTCCAAGGTTACGTGCGGTCATAAAGGTGGGCCCTGACCTGACAAGCCTGGTGGCCTCGTCTGAAGAGGACGTGAGATCTCTCTCCCTGCTGCGTGTCCCAAGGAGCGAGAGCCAGGAAGAAAGCCTCAGCAAACTGGACCCTGCCGGCACCCTGGTCTCAGACTTGCCGCCTCCAGAACTGTGAGAAACACATTTCTGTCGTTTAGGCGGCCAAGTCAGTGGTATTTTGTTACGGCAGCCCCAGCTTGGACACCAACATAACAGAGGAGGAGACATAAAGCCACTCTTTACACCACACACAAAATGCAAGTCTAGGTAGAGCAGGATCTAAATGTGGGGGCTGCTGGGAGATGGTTCCCTAAATCTGTGGCTGACATGACAGGAAACCCAGAAACCAGGAGCAGACGATTTATGTTTGCTCCATGGAAGTTTGCATCCTCCCCGCCCCCCACCCCCAGCTGCTTCCTCCCCTGCCCTCCTCAGTCTGTGACAGTATCAGAGGGTGGTGATGAACAGCAAACACCGAAGGACACCTGCCGTCTGCCAGGTACTCAGGTGTGTTTCACACACAGCAGTAATTCATTCAGTCCTGTGATGAATGACATAGGTACTGTTAGCAGACAAGGAAACTGAGGCACCCCCAATTCATAGAGCCAGTAAGGGCAAGGGGGGGAGCCCACCCCAGCCTGGCGCATCACTGCAAGCAACACTGGCGCATCACTAAGAAGAAAGAAAAAGAAAGTGGCCACAGGGTTAAGCAGACAATTCACAGAAGGCTGGCAAATGACTAATGAGCACACGAGGAAACATTCAGCTACACTACATATCCAGAAGTGAGAAATAAAATGCCATTTTGCATGTAGCAGAGAGGCAAAATGTTTAAAGCCTGAAAACAAGCAGTGGGGGCTGGTCTGTGGGGAAATGGATGGTCCTACATGGTTGGATAGGCGTCAGGGGAACATCTGTTTTGGAGGGCAAAAGCTGTGAAGCCGAGAGTGTGTGTTCCCTGTGCCTCGGAGGTTCACTCTGAGATTCCTATCCAGCCCGGAGTGACTGAGAAAACACTGGAAACGTGCTGAACATCCATTGGGAGGGATGGATATACCACAGAAAACTGCACAGCACTGAAAATGAACATGGCGGAGTAAGCTGTCCCGTGGGGAGCTCTTCAGAGCACAGGGGTGGCCACAAAACCAGGCTGAGGGAAACCACGTGTGATGCCTGACATGGTACCATCTAGAACCACACACGGCACCGCATGGAGTTTACAAATACTCAGATGTGCATCTAGCTCCACTGTCTGACGGATGAGGGCACAGGCTCTAAGCCCCATGGCTGGGGTGGGCTCCCCCCCTTGCCCTTACTGGCTCTATGAATTGGGGGTGCCTCAGTTTCCTTGTCTGCTAACAGTACCTATGTCATTCATCACAGGACTGAATGAATTACTGCTGTGTGTGAAACACACCTGAGTACCTGGCAGACGGCAGGTGTCCTTCGGTGTTTGCTGTTCATCACCACCCTCTGATACTGTCACAGACTGAGGAGGGCAGGGGAGGAAGCAGCTGGGGGAGGGGGGGCGGGGAGGATGCAAAAAAACCTCTTGCCTTTACCTGCAACGGTTTACTTTTTTTAGGGATTTGGAACAAAATATGACAAAATTTTGTCATTAATTTTGTGAAGCAGGTACACACAAGGTTATTATTCTGTTTAAAGGTTTCAAAATTTTAAACACAAGAAAAAGCCATTCAAGGAGGAAGAACTCCACATTTCCAATGGAAAAATAAATAAAAAGAGTAATGATTTTTTTTTTTTGGTCAGGAAAATGTAAATTGAAACAAAAACAACGTAACACTTTCTACCTATCAGGGAAGCACTCATTCAAACCTGGCATCCTGGCTATGAGGAAGCATTTTTGGTGGGAGTGGGAATTGTTCTACCCTTCTGGGTACTCATACTGTAGACACCGAAGTTTCTGCACATAAGGAAGCAAATGCAAGGCTGAGTATTGCCGGCACTGTACTTACCAGAAACCAACCAACCAAGGCATCAGGACGGTTGAATAAATTAGGGGACCCGCCTCCAGGCAGGCCACGGAAAATAATGCAGCTATCCAAAGTTATGCGTTGTACATTATGCTCAGTGCAGTGAGGGAAGCCAGACAAAGAAGGCTGCATATGGTATGATCCCATTTATATGAAATGCCCAGAATAAGCAAATACGGAGAGACGGAAAGCAAATTAGTGGTTGCTGAGGGCCAGCGTGACTGCTAATGGGTATAGGGTTTCTTTCTGGGGTGATGGGAATGTTCTAAAACCGACTGTGGTGATAGTTGCACTCCCTTGTGAATACACTCAAAACCACTGAATTGCACGTTAGAAAGGGGCGGATTTTATGGCATGTGAATTATATGTCCATAAAAACAAAGGGAAGCACTGGAATGTGTACAGTCTGGTCCCATTTTTAAAACAACGTGGTTAAGCCCTACGTCTACGTATGCTAGAGTCTGCCTGTGTGACGAGGAGAGAGATGTGGAAGAGTAAGGGTCAAAACTTAGGACCCTGTTTGTCGCAGGGAAATGTGATTGTGGGTACAGGGAAAGGAGGAGACTATTAACTTTGTTACGCAGCAAATACTGGTTTTGTAAATTAAAAAAAATTACTTTTCAAAGAAGGAGAATCACTGCAGGGCAGGGATTAGCAGTACTATTTTGGTCCGGCCACCCAGTTTCCTTGAGCCTGTTTTGCTCCCGCTGGGGAAAAGACTGGGAGCAGTGGGGCCGCCTGTGGTTGAAGAGAAAATAAAACGGGGTGAAGTAGGCCAGTCTTGGGAACGAAGGTAAGGACGCAGCACTGTCAGTCCCCGCTTGAGGAGCAGAGGTGCCACTGTGGCCGGAGGAAGAAGACATGTGCTCCAAGGTGCTGACGTCTGTTTTCTGCAGCAGGATGGACAGAGGGAAGGCAGGAGAGAGGGACAAGAACAGGTTCTGGGCTGGAGGAGTGAGGAAGCAGCCTGGCAAAAACTGGGTTTCGTGTTCTGCTTCCAGACACGAAGGAGTAACAAAGACCAGATTGAGCCCTCTTCCCTCAGACAAAACGTATGAAATGTATGAAACGATTGATTTCAAGACGCTGGAGTCGCAGCTCAGAACAGACCACTGAGAGAAGGGAAACAAAATGAGCCCGTAGCCACCCCATCTGCCCACCTGGAAGCAGTTTCCAAATGGTAGTGCGGGGAGAGGGGACACAGACAGAGCCTGTGGCTCACCATGTTGAAGAGGAACAGAGTTTCGGGTGTCCAGGTGATTAAAATTTCTAGGGCAACATGCCAGAGCCGAGGGGGTTTCACAGACCCAGAGTTCTGGATCCACTTGAGACTGATTGAGGGCTGATAGGTGTGTGCTGGGAGGAAACCCCAAACCAGGAAAAGAAACACCAGAAAGAAGTAGGCAGAACAATCATTAACACTCACATGAGGCTGGGGGTAGTTTATGGTCTGACCGGCCAGAGTGGAATGCCCTCCTGCTGTATGGGCACTGAGAAAAGTCCGCAGAAGAGGAGAGCCTCAGTGGTCTAACAAAATCAGCCCAAGTCTAAAGTCTTCTCTGGCTTCACCTTAACAAAACCTAAGGAGCTGGCCTTGGAAGGATCCAGCTAACACTAAGTAATGCCCACCCAGAACAAATTCCAGAAATATTTAGGGAATTCCAAAAAGAAAGCCAACACTCAACAAAGTCAAATCTACTCCAGCATCCAATAAGGCAACTAAAAGGAAAAAACAAGTTAATAAAATCAGG